TATATATAGATATATAAAACATGTAACACAAATGCATGAATTATTTTAGAACTAACTTAAGGATTAAGTTAGTGAGGGTGAAATGTTGTTTTATATATTTACAGTCTTTAACTGCTCTGGATGAATTAATAAAAACTGTTGTTCAGGGTTAATCATGTCTGTTTGGGTTTTTTTCTATCATAATGACTCATCTGTAATCTTGGCTGCTCCTCTCAGCAGTCCTGTGCCACCCTGCAGGGTGAAAAAGGCGGGAAAGCCCTCAGTCGCCATTTCAGTCTTTGCTTCCACAAAATGGCCGATACTGTGCAGAGAAAACAAATTAAAAATAAAGGTGAATAAAAGATTATCTCATCGGTTTGTGGCTCGTATTTCATTAGTTTATTAGAAGTAGCTTGGATAAAATGTTCAGTCCTCGTTCAGCAGTTGCATGTTTAATGAAAATAAAAGTTTGTTTCTGAATGTGCGTTTGTGCTGCATGGTGTTTTGTCTAACCAGTTCTGCACCATTCCGCTGCACCACACAGCCGGGCTGGAAAGTCCCGTCTCTTCTCTCTTTCACTTTCTTTATCTTCTTATTGTGTAATCATCGACTGCCTAACTCAGCCAAACCACCGGCACACCTTAAGTCTTGTGAGTGAAACAATCAGGCTCTGACTTTTTATGACTTTTACACCGATTTTTTTATGATATTTGCTGTGGGAAAATTCTGGACGTACCTCATTTAGAGGAACTATGTCAGACATTGAAAGAAAAAGTTGTTTTTATTATAATAAGCACATTGGCCTGGAGAGCATGCAGATCTGAGCCTGTTGTTTCATTTAAACTGTAAAATAATCATTCTTTTAAACTTTTAGGACATTATATTGTTAGGACAGAAAATATGTTTTATTCTTCAGACAAAAATGTGGAACAGAGCACTCTGACTTGAGGGAAACATCCATTTGATTATATCTAAATGTAAATGCTAATCACTATGTTTATTAGTGAGTGAAGAATTCATTAAATTTTTTACTGTTATATGCTTGAAAAAAGAGTATTTCTGATGCACAGAATGTCATTATATAAAACACAGATAGACTTAATGTTTGCTTCTAAAGTCTGCATTCATATTTAATTTCTGTTTGATTTTATAGCTATCAACTTTTTAACGTGGCTCTTTGAAAAAACACCAACTTTTTTTTAAGTAATTTCAGAAATGATCACTGCAGGTAGACTGTGTCTTTGATTTACTTGTTTTAATGCATGAATTTTCTTTTACCTGCTTTTCCATTCAGTGTCACGGCGCAGCTGGTACCTCTCCAGCTGTCACTGTGAACCTGGATGAGCCACAAGTCCACCACAGAGCTGCTTCTCTAGCTGAAACATAAAAATAAGAAAACAGACCTTATAATTAGGACAGATGTGCAACACAGTAAATGTGAACTTTTTTATTATTTTGTATATTTAGTCTTATTCTGTATTTTGCTATGCTAAAATAAATAAAGGTAACATAAGTTTGTTCATTTGTCTTATCAATAAAATCAGGCCTTGGTAACAAGTTTTAATGTAAAATACCTCCACAGAGTCTCTGAAAATCTGCAGTTTTAACAAGCATGAAAGAGTGTTAAACCCTGCTGAATCATCTCAAATTATTTTGATAAATTAGCTTCTCTGTAACATAATATGTGTTTCTTTTTGTCTTTCTAAATCGAAAGTAATGAAAGGAACTGATGCAACACCAAGCTCAACAGAAATGACACCAATGTAGCAGATTTCTACTCCTCAGCTACTTTTATTTGACTGTTTGACCCACTGGAGATAATAGTAGAGACAAATAACCTAAATAATTAATATGGAGCTGACTCGGTTATATTGTGGATCTTTTCTGGGGGTAATATTAACTACATTTCTTTTATTTGTGGTGTTTTGTTTGGTTTTATAAGTCGGTAAACTCCCACAGTTGTTTTGTGAATCCCCTAAAGTCCCCAGAGGAGTGTGAGGATTATAACTTTTACTGCAGCAAAGCTCAGTAAGATTACAGATGATAAACGTTTCCTTATTTGGGCTAATAAAAAAAAACACCCAATCAAACACAAGGACCAGATCAGTTGAGTAAAGTACCTGCCTATAAACAAAACAAAAAAAACAAGTGTTAAAACAGAAAGTAATCCTCTGACAGTCCTCTCTAACAGAGTCAGAGCGCCCCGCTCGGTTGTTTTTGGCACTTTTTACCAAAACACCATGTGATTTCTTGGAAAAAGTAACCGAAAGGCAAAGTTAGGTGATTCTCAGAAGTGAAGTGAATGTGTTGCTCTTGGCTGACATCTAGTGAGAGAAACAATAAAGATGTTTGGTTCTGGTGGAGGGGTGGTTTTAGGTTTCTGTTCTTTTAGATCCAGGCTTGGTGTACTGGAGGATGATGCATCAAGAAACCACAAGCATTGATGTGCACAGAAACGACAATCACAAGGCTGCACGCGTGCAACCAAAACTATCAAAACTGACACTTCAACTTCTCCAAAGCAATATTATGAAATATTATCAGTGTCAAACCACACGACTTTAGATCAGAATATTTCAGCCAAAGCTATCAGGCAGGTTTGTGGGATTAAAGTTATAAAACACAAAGTCACTGCTTGGCCTCATAAAATTAACACTAAAGGCTCAGCTGTGTTCTCAGAATGTCAGGGGTTAAAGAATGTGATGAATGTCATCTAAAACAAACCAAACAGATAGATGAAGAATATAAACAAGACCAACAGCACTCCCAGAGCTCCTGTTTGGCATCTCACCATAACCACGTGATTTCCTGTAAACCCTCAGCCTGGTGAATCAGCAGCTGGAGATCAGACTGTTTCGGTTTGATCCAAAGACATCAGTGATAGAACACGAGTGCCCCCAAGTGGGATTAAATAATAACTTGAAGAAATAATGAGCTGGTTCTGAAAACTAACATGAGAAGACAGCAGTGTTGTTCACATGTTTGGAGAAAATGATTTGTTGAGTTTTATTTGTTTAAAGTGCAGTTTCATTTTGTAAATAACTTTGATGTTCTGTAAATCATTTAACCAGCAGTGACATGATAGTAAACAGGAAGGTCATCTTCCAGTAAAATGTCTACTGGTTTGAATTCCAGCTGAGGTCTTCCTGGACTGTGTTCTGCCTGTGAGGCTTTTATCAGGTTATTCTGGTTTCCTCCTACACTTTAAAGATGTAGCTGGTCACTCTAAAAGATCCAGTGGTTTAAACGTGAGTGTTTTAATTTATCTTTAAAGAATTTAAACAGGACCAGGAACCCATCTGTCATTTTGTTACTGGAGTGGTGCTCCTTAATGACCTAAATACCAAAACAAATGAATCAGTTGTACTGAATATGAAGAGGTTGTGCAGTGGTTAAAGCTACTGCCTCATAAAAAGAAAGCCAATGTGTTTGTCTGTGGAGTTTACATGTTCTCCCAAACACTTTAGCTTCTTTACTAAAACATGCTTGTTGTTATTTAGTTACTATAAATTGACACTAGGTGTGGGTATAGTGTTTGTTTCATTTGTAGCACAGCTCTCACACAATGACCACTGGAGATAAGTAGTTTAAAAAAATCAGACAAATGAATTCATGTGATGGTCAATGGCAGGGGTCTGCAGTGTTTACAATCAAAAAAGCCATTTCTGCTCCTTGTCTCACTAATGAAATGTGCCTAGAGCTGCAAAATAAGCTACAACTGTGATCAACTGGTGGTCTGTGGGCCTTTTCAAAGTCTTTTCTGAAACTTTTATGGCCAGTGGAGGTGACATTATAAAACTAAAAAAATATATTGTCAATTGTATTATTTATTATTATTTTTACACTTCAGGACAAAAAAATAAAATAAAAATAAAATAAAACACATTCATGCACAAGAAAAATACTGTGTATAGTGTATACCAAATTTCATTAAAACTAGTACAACCAAACTATTCAGACATATTTTATTTCAAATTCTTCTTATTATGAAGTCTTAAAGGAGTTTAAAAATAACCCTGATTGATTTGAGAGAAAGATCACATAAAGAAGTTGGATTATTTAGCTAGCAGGCTAGCATGAGCAAATCATCATGTTTTACTTTTTGTATTAATGATCACATACGTATTTGCCTACAATTTATTTCTGATGTGAGTATAAAAACAAATCAAATCATTCTGTTATGTTTGTTCACATTTTCAAAGAGCCATAGACCAGAGCCGCAGGTTGCAGACACCTGGTCTATGGAATAATTTTTAATGTTCAAAAGTAAATGTGTTCATGTCAGACTTTAACCAACAACGTTGAGTTCAAACTAAGGAAGCTTTTTGCAGTTTTGTTTTTATTATGAATAATAATCATAAAAAATATTATGTAAAAAATGCAGCAGCTTCAAGTAAAAATATACAAAAATTATTTTAAGTTGTTATTAAACAATAACCTGTCTTTTGTTTACTTGATCTGGATACCTGTACAATATCATAATGTGTCAGAATTAATTTTAGGCAGTTCACCGCAGTTGCCATTTAGATGGCGCTTTAACACGTGTTTATTAGAGACTTAGATAACTTTAGTTCTACACATAAAAGAAGTGAACCTAAATGGACACTAGATGGCGCTGTAACTGCACGTGGAGCCTGGAACTAAACTAAAACTGGTCTGAAATAGAAACTGAAAACTAATATATTTCTGAATATTCTTTAGTTATTTGCAGACTTTTAGATGATTAATAAAATATAATTGTGTTTTTTTACATGGTGAGCTGTTCTTCTGGTTAATTAAAAGTGAGCCCAGTGGCAAATATCATCTTTTTAAAAATAAAATGTTATATTTTGAAAACCAGAATCCAATACTAGCTTTAAACAGTGTAATTCATGCTCAGAGGTCATATTTTCCAATATTTTAACCCAGTTTTGTGAAAAAAATAGCCTATATCGCCATAAATAGACACTGCCTGAGATGAAAGAAGGCGATACTGAAAGTCACTCACTCGTGTTCTGGACCTTCTTTGTTCTGTTCAGAACCAGGAGGAGGTTGGATCATCCCAGCAGATCAACAGGTGAGAGGCAGAGAGGAAAGGTCCAGCCTGGACGGGTCACCAGTCCATCTAGAAACTATTAAAAATAACTATAGATTATTATTCTTTCTAGACTTAAAAGAAAATAGTTCAGCATTTATCTGATGAGTGTAACTTATTAAAAACATGAAAGCAGAAATGTAAACAAGACTTAAAACAATTCAGTTCTCTGTGATTCTGTAGTTTGATCATTTGTCCCATCAACTACAAGAATACGTTTATCACATAAAAAACTTTTAAAAATCCTCAACAATTTCTAACATTCTTGAATGTGATTGATGAGCACACCACGGAATAAATAGTAAAAAATGGAAACCATCACTGACTTGAACTAATGTTTGAATGAAAACACAAACATAGATCTTTTTCTCATTTCTTTAACAGTAAATTTTTTCTTTTATGTTAGTTTTTATATATGTTGACATGAAACTGAAACAGTTTGGCTACAGCCTGAGTCACGTATACAAATGTGTTATTTGATAAAAACATCTTGATTTTAATTTCCTTCTTTCCTGATTTTTATTCCTGTCCAAGTTTGTGGCATGGAGAGATTTTGTCAACAACAAATTAAAACAAGTCCGATTAAAACAGGATAATCTTGACTGAAAGACCAGGCAACAGGTTTTTTTTTTCTCTTTGAAACTCCACGCAGGTACTGTGGGAGAAAACTCAGACTCATTCAGATGGAAATTAGACACTTCCAGTTTCTGTTTGAGTGTTTGAGAGTCTAATTCTGCACGACTGCTTGATAAACAAGACATGATGACTTTTACAGCACATATTCATGAATTATCACTAAGGCAAATATATAATATAATCAATTAAAATGTCCTCTTGATGATAATTTGAAATGTTGCATTTCTTATTGACATACCTGCAGGAAATACAATGATAATGAAAGAAGAAAATTACTGTAAAATGTAGCTTTTTGTCAGACCATGTGTTTTAGAGACAAGCTTTCAAAAAGCTCACAGTAAAAATATATTTATATAGAATTTAACAAATATTTGAGTATCTGTGTTGACTTTAATGAGGTGGATTTTAGTGACTTCCTGTAGATAATGTGATGTTTAAAGAGAAAACAGAACAAAATGATGAACAGGAACTTCAGCTGTCCTCCTGTGTCCACGCAGCTGCAAACAGCTGCTGTTAAAGGAACTGTTGTTGCTAAGGAAGACTTTCCACATCCTTCATGATAAAATAAACTGAATAAAGCAGCGTTAACTGACTTATACAAACATGAAAATATCAATCGGTCACAAATTATTAACTTTACTGCAGTTTGAATGTGACAAATCTGGAGTCGTCAGATTTAAACCTGTGAGTCAGGACTGAAGAGCTGTGAAGGAAAAAACTTCCTTTAACCTCATGTGATGCAGTGATTCAGACACCGAGAAAAACAAAGAGAGAGAGAGAGAGAGAGAGAGAGAGAGAGAGAGAGAGAGCTGTTGATGAGTCACAGGAGGCTGATTCTGATGTAATCCTCCAGCTCTGATTGCTCAATTTACAACAAATTACTGTTATTCTCTATAAAATCCATGTAACAATATTAGATAAACCATTACTTTTTAATTGATTACCACATTTTGATACCAGTGTCAGAGTTTTATTCTTAACAGTTGAATCTTCAATACATCTTTACATTTGCTAATATGTTAAGTTTAGAGTCTAAAAAGTTTAATTAGTCTTTTTTAAATAGTTAATAATTTATGTCACAAATATTCAGTCTTTTCTTGTGAAAATTTAGAATATCCACAGTTTTACTTTCTGTAAAAGCAAAGTATCAAATATCCAGATTATCAACCATAAATGACACCACTTTCACTTTTTAGACATCCTATGTTTCATTTTCAGAATGAACAATCTCACAGCTGCAATAACAGTTTAAATTACTGACTTGGCTCTCTGGAGCTCAGAGCTTTCTGAGGAAAAACACTCAACCCACAAAACTGGACAAAACACTGAATAATATGATGCACACTGAGCAACTCAAAACCCAGTTATACTGAACTCAGTTATACTAAACAGGACACTGTTCAAAACAGTTTGATCCTTTTTTTTTGGAAAAATATATATTAAATTAAAATTATGATTCAGATTCTGAGCTTAGTATTCCTAGAAGTATTTATCTGAGCAGGAGAATTTATTAGTAAACACGCAGGTTATTGCATGGTTGAAACTATAGTTAGATGTATAGAGGTGTAAATTAATTTAAAGGTTTATTTTTGTTGTACAAAGTTTTCTGTCGTCTCTGAGTAAATAGAAAACAAAATATGAAAGAGTCAGAATACATTATTATGACATAATATTTATAACAGAAAACAAAACCAAGAATCATTTTCAAAGTATGATTAATAGCTGATTCTACCTGTTTTAATTGCAACTCTCACTCCCTTTTTATGATTGCTATTTTTATACTTTTACCACATGTATTTTTTGTTTTTTTATCTTCACAAAGTGGCTTTAATAAAACATATATTATCATTTAATCAGTAAAAACTGTTCAACGACTGTTTTCGGGCGATGAAAGTTGTTTTTAGTGACAGACAAATAGAAAAGACCTGCCTGTGGTGTCTGCAGCATCAGATCTGACTCACTGCTGTGTGCGCTCCTCGATGTGCGCATGCGCGGCATTTATGTTGCAACACGCGACAGTTTGACGGCCGTCTTCATCTTCATCTTCATCTGGAGAAAATATTTGTGATAGGATTTAAGAAAACAGATGCGTGAGCAGAGATGGATTGTCATTAGAGACGCAACGAAGCTAAAAACAAAACAGGAAATCAGCGAAATAGAAATGATTTTCGTCACGTGATCAAAGCTGACCAATCGGATCGAGCCAAGTGCCACGGAAAAGTACGATCATTGTTCGGATATTTTGCCAACTTTGTCTACAAATCTGAGGAAAATACTTTGTAAATCTAGCAGGATGTGGACGTAGAAGCGCTGTTTTGTGTAAAAGACTCGGCTGTGGACGCGTTTGATGTCGGATTTGAAGAACTGCCACGTGTTCGAGTATGATGATTTGTTTTTTTATCACATGACTCCCCTCCCCCACCCCACCCGGCCGGGGAGTGGGGGGGAAGAAGGAGGACATGTTGGAGGGGAAATGTGTTGGCTAAAAAGTATCCAACTGGAAGACAAAGAAGATTTTTTTTGGAAGAAAGGTTTCGCTCTTTTTTTTGGATTTACCACTCGACACTTTTTTTTCTTTTTAATTCAGATTTTTTTTAATTTAAGTAGACACTTTTTAATTTTATCTTTTTTTCTTTTTAAACTTTAATTTCAGGATTAATGCAGTTTTATTTGTTTTTATTAGTAAAGTATCTTAATTAGTGATATTTAAATAGGTATATTGATAAAAAGCGGTATTTTGATGTTTGAGTGACATTGAGGGAAGTCTGTAACCTTGGTGTGGGGGATGGGTGATTAGATAACCAGTGTTTGTTTGTTAAATTTGTTTAAATTATTTAGTTTTAAAGGCCAAATATTTATATTTTGTTACTGAGTAATAACTGCTATAGTCCATCTTATAGTTATTCATTTGTAGGATAGATTTAAAACTTAATAATGTTTATTTTAAATTTAGATACAAGTTGTTTACTCTTACTGACTGCATGTTTAATAGTATTATTGTGTTTTTAATTAGTTAAATATTACGTTTAATAGTGTTATTGTTTTTTAAATTAGTTTAATATTTATTACAGGTTCAGGTCAGGAAAGTTGCTGTGTCATTCTGTGGATTGTTGCTGATTATCTGATGTTTTGAGTTGATTTCACTGTTTTTTTTCTACAGTGGATCACAAAGACTAAAGCTTTAAATTTAGACTGGGAACATTTTTATCCACAACACCCCTGTAATAACTGGGCCTCAAACAGGCCTGGTTTTATGGCAGTGTTTTTAAAACAAGTGTTTTTTTTGCTGAACTCAATAGGTTTGTTAATCAATCGCGTTTTTAATAATTTAATGACGTTTTTGTTGCGTTTCTTGTTCAACTGTTCATTTCGTGACTTATTTGATAACATCATTTGTTTGAATGCTCAAAGATGGCGACGAGCAGAATGTTCGAGAAGAAAAAGATGAGTTCATGTGGGTGAGGCTCGTTTCAGGGGGCGCTCGTGACCAAGCCGGAGGACCAATAGGACGCTTGGTATTCATGCTAGGATCGCAAGTTACTACGGTCTGAGCCAATCCTCGTCCTCCCAGTGCACACGTTGACGTAATATAATATGATAAAGAACAGGGTGGGCCCGAACCGTTCGGTTTCAGTGAAGGATTATACTCGGCAGCCAGTGACAGGCCGCGCGGAGGTAACACTGGGTTGGTTGAACCAATGATGATGTGCAGTTTTCTTGACTGGCGGGGGAGAATGCGAATGGGTTGGCCGAAAAGATTGTTTCCGGAGTTTCAGGATCTAGTGGGCGTGGCCAGCTTGACAGACATCTTGAGCAGCGAATGAAAAAATGAGGGGCGGAGAATGTCTGGGGCGGGTTACCCAATGAGGTGGCTGGTGGTTTATAAAAGGCCGGGTGTATCCACTCCGTCGCCATTTCAACGAGGTTGAGCACAGGACTGCGTCGTGGCGGGTCGCGGAGAAAACTGACGACCAGAGACGGATCCTGGTTTTGAGTCTTTCCAAAAACAGAATCCTGATCCATCCTGATGGATATGGCTGTCAACCCGCCACTTGACAGGTATCTACCGGTAAAATTGACTCTCACCTTACTATCGAAGGAGTTATTTTTTTATATTTACATTTTTTTCTTTTTATTGATACTCGTATCCTACGTGTGCTGTTAGAGCGATAGGAGGTGAGAGATGGACTCTGAATAATTTACCGGAATAAACCAAACGGGCAGAGCATTAAAATAAAGAACAATTTGTAGAGAAATTACATTTTTCTCCTGTTAGGGAAACGTTACGCTGGCGCCATCTTCGGCTCTTCAGCCCCTGGCCGCACTCTCCCGCTGCTCGGCGGTTGCTGTTAGCATCGCTAGCATTAGCATCACAGGCTAAAGCCTTGTTTTGGACCGATGCTGGCGTTTGATGATTATTGGAATAAGGTTGATTGAAGCGTTTCTAAAGTGTATTGTTAAATTAATGTCGCTCAGACTTTTAAATTAAACGTTAATGTTTGACCCTGGATTTAACTCTTGTTTAGCCCACGGTTAGCCGAGTATGTGTCGCTTTAGTGCAGCGGAGGACGGCAGTCCGTCTCTACGCTGTCGCCGGTTTGTTGTGGTAGCCATGTGGCGGTCAGGGGTTGGTGTTTGTGCCAAGTCATGTATCAATAGACAGCTGTCACTCTTTTCAGGACATCATTTAATCAAATTTCATGATGACAAGCAAAATATTAAAATCAGTGTAAATATAAACTCTTTAATCCTGAAGGTCTGTTTATGTTTCAGACGGTTGTCTGGTTACCAGGCTCAATGTCACTCAATAACTTGACTTGATAACTAATTTGTACTCATTTTGAGCTGTTTATTTTTAATACAAAGGGACATTTCTTTTCTCTACAAAAATATTTTAGTTTTGTTGTTTTTTTTATGTAAATGATTACTTTGCTTTTTGTAAATAAAGTATTCTAATTGTCAAATGAGTTTCCATAAGTTGTATCATTTAAGATTTAAAAGTTTAAACACATTATGGGTTATAGTTTGTATTTTGTGTACAAGCTAATTAATTTTTTTTTACCAACTGAGGATTTTTTTAACGGAGAGTTTGAAGGTATTAAAGGTATGAAGTAATAGGTAAACATTGGATGTGTTCATGAAGAGCTTACAGCAGATGACCCAAGATGCCAAGATCAACTGAGTGCACAGGAGGACCCTCACATCCAGCAGTCAACTTGAGTTGAACTAAAGTTGTTTACCTTGCAGTTCCAAACAAATAATGAAAGCAACGTTTGTCGAAACAATGCGTTAATAAGTAAATAAACATTTGATTAACTTGTTGCAGAAAGGAGCTTAGTGTTGCCATTTGCAGATAAGTTTTAAAAGTATATTACTCCCAAAAACCTGGTTATAACTATTCAATAACAAATCACTTAAAGGCGCTGCCTATATGTTATGTCATATCAGGTGTAAAATATACAGTACAGTCATAACTGTACAGCTGCAGCACTAGCTCCGCCCACAGTTCAGAGATTGTGGGGGAAGCTTGAGTTGGTGTAAAAAGCTGGGATAAAGAGGTAGAGAAAAGGAAGTGGTAATCTTATCTGTCAGAAAAATATTACAGGTTTAGGATTGCACTGTCTGGCATTAAAATAATTTTTAGGTGTATTTTTTTCTCTGGTAAATGTGGTTGTGCTCTGAACTGCACATTTGTGCGACGACAAGGTCATACTTTAAAAGTTATTGTTGCTTATAAGGACTATTGATAAAAATCTAGGATACTGCATCATTTTTTTTATTATGGTTGGACTTTTTTCTTTTTTAAAATAACCTGACAAACTTCAGTTTTATTTTTTTATGTTAAAATTTTCAGAAAGCTCTGAGCTCATTGGCTCTTTGCTTCTTGTTCTCTGCAGCTCTTACTCTATGCTTGATGCTGGTTATACTGGGTTCACGATGGACCAGAACTCCGGCGCAGCTGGAAAACGCATCAGGAAACCTTCACTGCTCTATGAGGGCTTTGAGAGTCCTGGGATGCCCCCCATCAGTCAGCTGATGCCCTCAGGACCCCCGCAGCCTGCAGTGAAGGACCCCAATCGACAGGGGAGGATGACCAACCAGCTCCAGTTCCTACAGAAAGTTGTGCTGAAGTCTCTGTGGAGGCACCAATTCGCCTGGCCGTTCCACGAACCTGTCGATGCCGTCAAGCTCAACCTGCCTGTGAGTCTAAAGAAATCTGTTTAATGCTTAATTAAAACGTCTCGTTCTAAAATCTTCTGTCCTCTGCAGGACTATCATAAGATCATAAAGACTCCGATGGACTTGGGCAGCATTAAGAAGAGATTAGAAAATAATTATTACCGCAGTGCTAATGAGTGCATGCAGGACTTCAACACCATGTTTACAAACTGCTACATTTACAACAAGGTGAGGCTGCTGCTGCTGTTGTTAGGGGTATTGTTGTCAACATTTTATTGTTGTCAATGTGTTGTCTAAATTATTTAAATCTGCAGCCAACAGATGACATCGTCCTCATGGCTCAGTCTCTGGAGAAGGCCTTCCTGCAGAAAGTAGCTCAGATGCCCCAGGATGAGTTAGAACTGCCTCCTCCTCCGCCTCGCAGCAAATCATCCAAATCCAGTAAAAAGAGCAGAATGATGGCAGGTGAGTGAGTTATAGTTATAAACACTATGGTTTGTTGTGAGTACTTATTTATTTATTTATGTATGTATGTATGTTTGTAGCACTTTAGGATTCTTCAACATAAAGTTCCCTATAAATCAAATGTACTATCATTACTTATCTTTTATTTCTTTTAGTTTCAGGAGGAATAACGACAGCTCATCAGGTTCAAGCCGTCTCCCAGTCTGCGTACTCTCCTCCCACCCCAGAAACACCCGACTCCATCCTCTCCACCCCCCCACAGACCATCCTGGCCAAGAGCCTGACCCCCACGTTTCCTTCTGAACACATGGCTGCCATCACCAGCATGCCCCACACGCAGCCCACCGCCAAGGTGAAGCAGAGTTTAATGTTTGTGACGAGTCGTTTCAGAGTTTAATGTTTGTGACGAGTCGTTTCAGAGTTTAATGTTTGTGACGAGTCGTTTCAGAGTTTAATGTTTGTGACGAGTCGTTTCAGAGTTTAA